GCTGGGTTAAGGTGGATATTATTGTCATATACACCTCACCACCACGATGACAGACAGACACAGAGGTCGACAAAAGGTTTCAAAGTCACAACACATCAGCAAGTCACAGTGCCTAGACTTACTAAGCTCAGGCCTTGGGCCTCTGTTCCTGACCTCAGTCTCCGTCTCCAACTGCAGGACCCACCCCCACCCCCCACCCAGAGAGCGCCAAAGACAGGGTGTGGTTTCCGAATTTGGCCACAGATTGGAATCTCTTGATGAACAGAGATGAGAGGAAGAGGAGAAGGAAGATGGGGGAGGAAGAGGAAGGGAAGGAAGGAAAGAGGGGAGGAAAGAAGGAATAGAGGGAGGGAGGGAGGGAGGGAGGGAGGGAGGGAGGGAAGAGGGAGGGGAGGAAAGAAGAAACAAATGAAGGAATAGAGGGAGGGAGGGAGGGAAGAAGCCTGACCCCCACCCCAGACCAACCGAATCAAAACCCCCTAGGGAGGCCCAGCTGCTCCACCCTTTGATTATTGCCGGATGAGTCTGACACACAAGGTGGATTATGGAGCTGTGTCTTCCTCCCACTTCCCTTTCCAGGCTCCACTTGCTCTCCTCCACCAAGGAGAACAGTGGACCCACTCTTTACCTAGAAGGTAGCAGATGAATAAAGGAAAAGAAAGCAAGGCGGAAAAAAAATAGGTTTTGGGGCAATGTTCTCTAAAGTCTCACACATCCCGCTTGATGTAAAAGGAAGTTGTGAAGATCACCCTTCACTGTCGTCTTGACTGGATGTGAAATCACCTGGGAGACACACCTCTGAGCATGCCTCTGAGAGTGTTGCCAGAGAGGTTTAACTGAAGAGGAAAGACCCACCCTGAGTGTGGGTGGTCCCCATCTTAGTTAGTTTTCTATCGTTGTGATAAGACACCCTGATCAAGGCAACTCACAGAGGAGTTTATTGGGGGCTTATAGTTTCTGAGGGTTAGAGTCCAAGCTATCATGGCAGGGAGCATGGCGGCAGGCAGGCAGGCATGCAGGCAGGCAGGCATGGTGCTGGAGCAATAGCTGAGAAGCTTACATCTTGAGACACAACCACAAGGCAGAGGGAGAGACGCCAGAAACGGCATGACTTGAAACTTGGAAGCCCACTCCAGGGACACACCTCCTCCAGCAAGGCCACACCTCCCAATCCTTCCCAAACAGTTCCACCAACTGGGGACCAAGTATTCAAGTATATGAGCCTATGAGAGCCATCCTCATTCAAACCACCACAGTACCATCCCATGGCCTGATGCTCCAATCATAATTTAAAAAAAGGAGAAAGTGGGCTGAGCACTGGCATTACTCTGCTTCCATAACAGGATATAACGTGACCAACTGCCTCATTCTCCCTCCCCCATGCCTTCCTCATCACAATGGATCCTACCCTCAAAACGTGATCCAAAGGAATCCGTCCTTCAATTGTTTCTGTCAAATACTCTGAAATGGGAGAGGTGATACGGAATTCTGCGGGCGCCCACGGTGACTCAGTTTCCCACAGTGACTCAGCTTGAAGCTGACGTCCATTCTGACCCAAAAGAGTTCAAAGCTTGCTTGCTCTAGTCTCTTCAGAAGCTGTGAGAAAGCTCTGGTAAGGTCCCTAGGGAAGGTACAGGGGCTGTGAGAAAGTCCTGATTAGCTTGTGGCAAAGAACTAATTATCTCGCTAATGCTCAATTCTAGGCAGGTTGCTGATGTCAGCAGGTGGCGTATGTTTGAGATAATGAAACTGCCTGTTTGATTCAAGGACAGGCTAGACCGCCTGTGCTGTGCTTTGTTCTTCCTTAGCCTTTCAGTTTGTGTATAAGCCGGCTGTGAAATAAACTCAAGGCTTGCTTGGTATTGACCAGAAGCCGTCCCGGCACTGATTTTCTCTCTCCGTCTATTCTTCTGCCTCTGTTTTCCCTCAGCCTCATGCCCTACTCAGCTACCCTAGTCGGCAGGCTCCGACAGAATTCCTGGTAGTTATAGTCTACAGACATCTCTCTAGTGTGTTATTCTCATGCTGGGGGCGGTGGAGAGTGTGAAGAGGACTTTCCACAACCAGAAGCTACCTGCCCACCCTCAGAAGCATCCCGTGTCTTAGGGTTATTATTGATCGCTCTGATGAAACTCCATAACCAAAAGCAAGCTAGGGAGGAGAGGGTTTATTTCAGCTTACTCTTCTAGATAATAGTCCATTGCTGAAGGGAGTCAGGACAGGAACTCAAGCAGGACAGGAACCTGGAGGCAGGAACTGACTCAGAGGCCATGGAGGGGTGCTGCTTACTGGCTTGCTCCTCATGCTTTCTTATAGAACCAAGGACAGCCAGCCCAGGGATGGCGCCACCCACAATGGACTGAGCCCTCCCATACCAATCCCCAAATGAGAAAATACCTTACAGGCTTGCCCGTCGTCCAATCTTATGGAGGCATTTTCTTAAATGAGGTTCCTTCCTCCCAGATGGCTCTAGCTTGTGTCAAGTTGATACAGTAAGACAGCAAATCCTCGAAGTAGAGCTTCTGGCTCACACACAATAAATCAAAGAATGGGATGAGGCCAGCCCCAAGGCACCATCTCGAGGGTCTATCAGGACAATACTCACTGCCCATGAATGACCCTCATACGAGGCTCTTGGAGGACTTCCCAACAGGCTAAGGCCCAGGTTGTTATCGTGCTATTTCTCTTTGGTTTGCAAGCAATAACCTGTAGCCCAGGCTGACCTGAAACTACAATCCACCATACTTCATTTGGGGTTCCCAAAGTCTGCCAAACCACCCAGCCCTTTCTCCATAAGAACGTGCCAGGGGTGTGGGCTGCAGAGGCCTTGACTACCCAGCAATAGATTAAACCCCCGAGATCATGAAGGCACACAAAACAGAGCAAAGATCTGTTCTTTCCTTTTCTAGAGTTATTTTCAACACATCCACCCATGAGAACCCTAGGGACAAGAAGCTTGGGTTTGAGGTGGGTACATAAGACAGGTAAATAGCATCGAGCTTCATCCTTTTTGTTCTCTCTCTCTCTCTCTCTCTCTCTCTCTCTCTCTCTCTCTCTCTCTCTCTCCTGTGTGTGTGTATGTGTATGTGGTGTGAAAGTGTGTGTGGTGTGTGGGTTCGTGGTGTGGGTGTGTATGGTGTGTATGTGTGTATGGTGTGTGTGTGTGTGGTGTGTATGTGTGGTGTGTGTGGTGTGAAAGTGTGTGTGGTGTGTGGTGTGTGTATGTGTGTGTGTGGTGTGTGTGGTATGAAAGTGTGTGTGGTGTGTATGTGTGGTGTGGTGTGTGTGTATATGTGTGAGTGTGTGTGTCATGAAAGTGTGTGTGGTATGTGTGTGTGGATATATGTGAAAGGCTCTCCATCTTGTTCAATCGAGCAAGGTTTTTCAGTCAAACCCAGAGCTTGCCAGTTTGACTAGTCTGCTGGCCAGCTTGCCCTGGGCTCCCGCCTTCGCCTTCTGAGGCTGGAATGATACAGGTGTTAGCACCTCCCCCCAGTACTGATCTAGCTCCTGGGCTTCTGAATGCCAGCTCACATGCTTGCACAGCAAAGCGCTCTAACCACTGAGCCATCCTCCCAGCTCTGTCAAGCTTCATTTCTGCCTTCAAACACCTCTGCCAGCCTCTAAGTTCCTGGACTCTTACAATTCCCAAGAATTGAAAGAAACAGTCCCATCTCTCCCTGGATCCTGACAAGCAGATAATATAGGTCTCCCCCCAAAAAAGCTTGCTCAGGCGATAAGCAAATGTGGTTAATTACATCGCATAAAGCCTTAGAAAGATTTACAAACCAGCCTCTCGGAGTGTCCTGCACAACTTCCTTTGCCAGCATTTCTCTTGGCCCAGACGGAGCTGGCTTCCGGAAAGCCCTGCTGGGGTCACCATCAGGTGAGCAGCAGCTCACGCTGGCTCTGGAGTGACCCTAAGTCACACTTAAGCCGGCTATTAGAAGCCAAGCCCCAGCCTGACTTGCAATCACCCACTCAGCCCGGGGAGGGGCTGGCCAACATCCACCTGGCCAGAGCTGCCCTGGCTTAAGGCCAGCCTCCCCTGGAGAGGCTCAGGACAGCAGAGAACTCATATCAAACCTGGAGGTCAGATGATGGATGATGCAGGGGGATCCCACTAGGTGGGCCAGCCCTGCCAGAGAACCTGCTGGCTGGAGGCCGAGCCTCAGGACTTCACCATCTGGAACTGCCCCTATATGGAGTAACGTCTGAGTCCTTGGCCAGTGGCGAAATGTCACCCCTTCAGTCTTGACTACATCACAGCTGCCTGGCTGTGTTCAAGGCAGTGACCTGAGCTCTTAAATCCTACTCACATCATTGTCGATCTGTTGCTGGTCACGGCAAACCAAGGCTACTACAGAGATGTCCTGACCGCCGCCCCCCTCCCAACCCCGCCATGGTCAGGACCCTTCTCCCTGGCTTTTCCTTAGGGACCAATACTTTCTCACCACCTGGCCCCACTGAGCCCAACATTCCCGTGACTCGGCCCATCTAGGCAGCCTGTGACATTTCGCGTAGTCCACGTGGCACTTGAGTCACGTACAGCAGGCAGACCCCACCACACGGTCCCATCCATGCTGATTTAAACATGAAACGCCATCTAGTCCTCGTCAGAACAAGCCAGATGGCCAACTTCTGGCTAAGGCATCTAGTGGTACATTGTTAAACTCTTCCTGCTCTGTGACAAGCTGGGCAGATCCCCCATAGAACGTCCCAGGGGATACATGGAGACTAAAGTCAAGATTTTGCAAGGCTGAGGCGTGAGGGGCTGGAAGACGACGTCTGCTGCAATGACTTCTAATCAAGTCGATGATAAACAGACCATATCTGAGGGAACAACGGCGGGGGTTGGGTGGGGGTGGGGGTGTGAATGCAGGAGGCTTCCAGCTGTTCACAGATGTGGGGGCTGGGCTGTATTCCTGCAACATGGGGGCCTATGCGTCCCTTTCTTTCCCAGATACTTATCACTATGCTATCTAAAACTAGGTCTGTGGTTGTTGTGTTTCGTAAACCGGTCTGATGGAAAATTCCCTGTCTGTGGTTAAAAAAGTGTAAGGTTAAAAAGAAACCTTAGAAAAAATAAGCAATTCTTTTATTTCTACTTCAAAATAGACTATGTACATCGGGGACCCTAATGGGGAGAGTAGGCCGTGAGGCGACTCCATCATAAAAAATAAAATAAAGTAAAAAATAGTCATTTCCCATTTCAGACCCAGCTTTAATCCGGCGGCTGGGGGCAGCTGGTCCCAGTCACCTTGCTGTCGGGGAGCATTATTTCTCCACTGGTGACCTTGTCATTGGCCCCCGGAGATCCAGAGTCCAGAAGTCCCTGGAGTGTCTTGAGGACGTGCTGGGGCTGATTGGCGGCGAAGTCCTGCAGGCGGGACCCCATTTGCTCCTGGAGGCTTCCGGCCAGCCTGCACACCACCGGGCGGGCGTTCCCACCACGCCCAGGCAGCACACCATTGCCAGTCATTTTGTTCAGGAAGTACCAGAGGACTGGAAGGACATGCCGCTCCACTGCCTGAGGCTTTCGGGGGTACACTGAGGCCACCAACACTGTCACAAAGAGAAGAGGGAGGGTCATTTGAGCTGCACGCTCTATCACCAATTCTGCGCTCCGGAGGGCAGGCACCCCAGCGGGGCTTATTTCCCACGTAGGCCCTGTGTGCAAGCCTCATGACGTTCAGGGGCCCGTTAAAATGTTTCAATTTATTTTAACATCAGAAGAGAAACATTGCTTTGTATTCATAACAGTCATAAAATATAATTTTACTTATTTATTTTTTTTTAGGAAAGAAAGGACCACAAAGGCCAAGGCAAACGAGGTAGGTCCATGAGGATCGTAATGTGTCCCCTCTGCCCCAGTGAGGGAGAAGAGGTGGGTTGCAATCCCACCTCTACCATCTTCCAGGTGCGTGAACTTGAGAAAGACACCACCTCTCTTTTACACTTGTAGAGTAAGAATCGCAAGCCTAAGCCAGATTCTCGAGACTGTTAGAGACCCCATCATCATACACAAATGTCAAGTAAGCATGTGACCGATAGGAGCCAATATTAGCATTGCATAAATCCAATGTTTCCACCTGTGAAAGTCATTACCAACACAGAGCAATGCTACACTAGCAATGGGACCTGGCAGGAATGAAGATATACAGACCTGTACCCCTCTCTTTGAATATCCAGCTATGGAGACAATGGTCCCTAGGAAATTGGAATTTCCCCGAGGAAGGAAAATTTCTCCCTGAGAGTAAGAAATAGACTTGTCTCCCTGGTCCTTGTCAGACCACCTTGCAGGGAGACTGGAGATGGTAAGGATGGACATGGCTACATCAGGTCAGGGACAATGTGACTGTGTATGCTTCTATTCCAACCTAAATCTCAGTCAGAACCCCTCAGATGGACTGAGGGAGGCGGCAGGAGCTCTTTGTTGCTCCTCCCACGGTGACTGCCTTGAATAAATCTCCGTTCTCTGCTTTCCCCTATTACTTGTTCTTTAGTTGGCTTATTGAGGATGGGTAGCTGAAGCCAGCTTGTTAGGGCTGCCGGGGTCCGGACTCCAACTCTAGCAACTCCAGTCACAGGGAGAAAAGTTGAGTGTCTCCAAAGAAGCAGTCTAGCCTATAAAACAGCTAGCAAGGAACAAGACCTACAGGGCCTCCCCAGCATCTAGACATCTAACGTCACGATCAAGCAACACTCTGTGAGGATGAATGTGTGTGCAAGCCATCGGGCTCCAGATAGACCCTCCATCCTGGTGAAGAATCCCCTGAACCTGGTTGTCTCAGGACCCAACCTTCTAAACCCACGAATACTCATCACCCACATGAACCTGCAGCAAGCTCTCTATCACCAAAGTAGGTACCAAGGCTGCAGCCAATATCAAAGCCTCCCCAGGCCTGCGTGGAGAGGTTGCCCTGGCCTGAGGCTGTGGCTATTGTGACTCTTACTATCCTAAGTACATTAGTGCTAACCAACACTAATGTATATATATATATATATATATATATATATA